TGGTTGACGTTTTTAGTATGTGTTTATTGTTACCGAAATGGCCGTCGTGTGAGGGTTGTCACTCTATCCTCATCGTTCGTACTTTCTGTGTCTTCTGTTCAGCTCTTTTGTGCGGTTCTATCGACCAGGGCCCCTACTAGAGGTAAAAAAATAGTCTCCCGAATTCCGACCATTTGAGGCGTGGCTTTGAAATGACATGTTTGTGTCTTGCAGGGTGCTTACGGACACATAACTAACATTAAATAAGGCATCGTTGCATAAAAGAACAGTTTCAGAAATCATGTTATATGGTTGATGTCATCTTTTGTGCCGATGACCTCGAACTCAGACAACCTATCACTGTAACATAAGTTATTGATATACAGTACTGTGGACGCCAACGTTATTGAGGTGCGTGGCATATAGCATAACTTATTAAAAAGAACAAAAACAAACGTGTATCCTTTGATGTTATTACCAATGCTGTCAGTAGTTTATACCTGTGTATGTGTTTATTGTTACCGAAATGGCCGTCGTGTGAGGGTTGTCACTCTATCCTCATCGTTCGTACTTTCTGTGTCTTCTGTTCAGCTCTTTTGTGCGGTTCTATCGACCAGGGCCCCTACTAGAGATAAAAAAATAGTCTCCCGAATTCCGACCATTTGAGGCATGGCTTTGAAATGACATGTTTGTGTCTTGCAGGGTGCTTACGGACACATAACTAACATTAAATAAGGCATCGTTGCATAAAAGAACAGTTTCAGAAATCATGTTATATGGTTGATGTCATCTTTTGTGCCGATGACCTCGAACTCAAACAACCTATCACTGTAACATAAGTTATTGATATACAGTACTGTAGACGCCAAGGGTTCGAATCCGATTTGGGGCTCCTGTTCTCCTCGTCATTTCTAAGATACGTTTCTTCATAGCCTATATGCCCAAATGCCTGACCTTGGAAACAGCTAAAGTAAGATGCAGCGTATGCAGAAACCCTCCATTACTTGAGGCTGAAACAGTTTAAAATTCGTGAGACATGGTTGACGTCTCGATGTTTTGGTCAGTTACGTACCTGAGCGTACTCGAGCGGCCTGGTCAGTTTGACGAAACAGTCCACGTTGAGGGAGAGCAGGGACATGGTAGAGGCCAGCGAAGCGGTGAAGAACAGACTCTCCGGCAGGAAGAAGTTGACGTGCAGGTCCTCCATACACAAGAGCATGGCCATTTTGGACACGCCATAGGTGGACATGAGGATGTCCGAGAGGCACAAGCTGCGGAGGAAGACCAGTGTGGCGCTCCGGCCGCCGCTGGTGAATCGCGTGGCGATGAGGACAAGGGTGGAGCTGGAGAAGACGACGATTGAGAGGGAGAGGATCGCGATGGCATAGGTAGAGGTGGGCGCCGCCGGGAGGTGGTGACTCCGGTGCAGGGGGTCCGCCGTGTCGTACGCCCCTGGGAGGATGGAACCGTTGTTGAGGGCCTCCTCGGCGGTGCCGTTGCTTGTTGTTGCCGCCGTTGGGGTGGTGTTGGTGGGGACGCTTCTATCGCTTCTGTCGTTGATGCTGCCGGCGGTGGTTTGGCTGATGTTTAGATGTTCGTGAAGGACGTCCGTGTTGGGGATAATTATTATAGAAGCGGCGGTACTTGCGTTAGTAGTGGAGGTACGCACTGCCGGCTCGGGAGATATGGGAGTGGGCACTACACTTCTCTCCGAAGTATCAGGGGCGTTTTCTGAGGAGGAGGTGAGGCCTAGTAAGCACACACCCCCAGCAGCGCATGGCATGACGTTACAGTTAGACAGCGAGGGCCATGATTTTGTGGTTCGGGTTCTCAGAATATAAATGCAACATGTTGGACGGCAGTCTGAGATTCAGATGTAACAAGTGAAGTGTGTCCTCCTACTCTTTGTCCTTATTCTGTTGTTTTATTTGGGGGGAGGGGGGGGGCAAAGATTAGGTCTGTGAACAGAAAATAAGAGACAACTGTTAAAGTAATGTAAAGTAAACGTTGTAGACCCTGCCTCACTTCCCCCCAGTTTTTTTCTGAACTGATCGGGGCGGGGCCACTGACTGAAGTGTCTTTAGGCCATTCCCAAAAGGGGGGGGGGGGGCATTAACTTGTTCTTATGCACAGTAGAATTGTAAATGGGCTGATTCGACAATGTTGTGCTCATAATTGTGCCTGAACTGCGATAGGGAATTGCTGCTTTTTCTTTCCTAATCCTTACTATCGTCATTTCCCCTCTACTTCTTTTGTATGTTTGCCACACTTTTGTGACCCACTGTTTCCGGGGTGCCTTGATAGTCAAAGCAGACTTTATGCTGTTAAGCTAGAGAGGTGAGCAGAGTAGGCCTGATTCCCTGTAAAGACTTCTCTGTTGACATCCACCCTTATCGCCGTAAAACCGCTACTAATCTACTAAAACAAAAAACACAACAAAAAACCAACTGATCGTTACTAGATGGTGCGTTATTGGTGTGTGCTCTGGGGTGGTTTGTTCCTTCTTTTCTCTCCAAATCTATCGTCGTCCCATGTATGTTACTTGCTATTCTTTAACTCCTAATCTAAGGCACTTTTATCACCTATTTGGGTTTCCATAAAACTCTTACTAAAACCAAATAAAGCTCCCGAGTAGGCTACAACGTATGAGAGAAAAGCCAAAGAAAAAAATTGGAGGATAACGTATCAGAATAGGCGGGTCTGAAAAACATGAGCCCATGAGAAAGTACAACTGAAAGGAATAGAATGCGTTAAGTGGAATTTTGTCGATGGAGCGTAAAAGACTTATCTATAGATAAGAAAAGATTAGGGGAAAATCGTCTCTGGCGCCACAGCTATGGCCGACAATGTTTACTTCTCATCTCGTGTTATTTTCTTTGCTGTATGATTTGCCCTAACTCTTGAACCAAGTGCCCCAGCTTCGAAATGACATATATCTAAGTGTGGACCGTTTGTTGTAATATTTGAATGTGGCAGCATTAATTTGTCCCCTCTCACAGGAGCCGCTGGTACGTCCTGCTGCTGCTGCTGCTGCTGCTGCTGCTGCTCTCTCTCTCTCTCTCTCTCTCTCTCTCTCTCTCTCTCTCTCTCTCTTTCCCCCTCTCTCTCCCTCTCTCTCTCCCTCTCTGCGTAATTTATGTGTCTTGCTCTTTCTCAGCAGTAAATGACCTTTGACGAGTTGAGCTGCTCCTTTTTTCTCAACCCGGAAATGTTTGATCTCCCCACCCGCCCGTTCCCCATTTCTTTTATTACTATTTTGTTGTAAATAAATTTAAAATTCTTATCTGATGTTTTAATTTTTAACACCAGACATAATAGAAACGTTCGAATGTGCATGTTTCTTAAAGTTCTTTGATCTAAATATTCAATAGAGCAATACTTGGGCGATGAAATGGCTAGCTTGATGTCCAAATTTTTCCTGGCAGGATAATCCCGAGGTCAAATGAAAGCTCAAATACTATTTCGTGAAAATATATTATCTCTTAACATCACAGAAATGTTTGGTCTGAAAGAACCACTATGTGAAATGTGATGCAAAAGTGTGAGGAGCCAACCTCAATTTGATTGGGTAAAATTTTTGGGTCGGTGTAAATTCCTTTTGAAGTTGATACACATGTCTGCACCGCAGTTAGTGGCTCATCTCTCATCTCCAAGCACGCAAAGGGCATGAGATCAATGTTCCCCTGAGAACATATTTTTATCAAATAGCACCGCGTTTCTGTTTGGATGTATTTCACGCAGCCTGAGGTGGCTAAAAAACAAAACAGATCGAAGTATCCCCCCTCTTAAATTATGTACATTATGTTGACAGGGACGTAAAATATTTATTTGACGATGTTATTCACACAACGATGAGGCATAACGACACTTACCTTACAGTGAAATGAGCTGTTTCTGGTTGTAAAACACTCAGTTTGCTGAGTGAAAACTAAATAGTACCAATGAAGCAACAAAGGAAAATGTTGTATCATACGACTTAACAGCTGATGACACATGTACTTTCATAACACTCTCATCGTAAAACTAAACAATTATCAAATGATTTAACCCCGAAGCAAATTCCCTGTAGACCAGGGGAATCAGGGGATATAGCGGGTGTCCTTATAAAAAGAACCCATTTAAAGACCAATACATAACTCGGTCATCTTTGGCGCAAATTTATAAAAAATGAAAGAAATAAAAATCAACCAAGGGAGCATCAAATTTGTCAATATAAAAAAGCAACATGTGTGTTCGAGAATGATCAAGTTTTAAACATTTCAAAAATGAGTAAAACTCAAACCGTTTTGACTTCAGCCATAATGTGTATCTGTGCATTGAAGGACACATTTATTTAGGACCGACACTGTCAACTAAAGTCAGGGAAGATAGCTTTACCATATTTTTTTCTGAAACAAGAACGGGTCGATCACATTCCTGTAGGTGAATGCTATTAATTAAGAAGTGAAGTTTTGCGTTTTCCTCCATTTTGGTTGACGTTTTTAGAACTTGATATCTCTCGCACGCGTTGATTGATTCTCGTCATATTATTTGCAAGTTAGATGGACGCCCCCACCACGCCCCCAGTTGAATTTTATGTGATAGAGTTATCGCCCTCTAAATGAGTCCATTTTTTTCTGTTTTTGAGACCCCGTAGACTTTCCCCGAGATTTGCCTAACACTGTTTAGTCGTGAACATTTTTATTTTTTTATACGTCTGAAGTCTACTAGTTCTTAGTGTTTTAAGCTAATATCAATGCAATATTGTGGCGTCGGTGGCCTAGTGGTTAGGCTCTCGGACTCGCAACCGTAAGGTCGTGGGTTCGAATCCCGTCAGGGGCCCGACGTTGTGTCCTTAGGAAAGGCACTTTGAACAAATTTTCCTCACTTCACCCAGGTGGAAATGGGTACCCGGTTATAGACAGTGAACGATCTTGTCAGTTTGATAGTGTTTGAGCGCGTGAAATCCGCAGCTTGCACTGTATGCTTCCGCGGAAGCCGAGGATGTTTCCAAGAGTTCTCAGAGGGTCTGCTGGGGTAATAATAGTTGTAAAGCGCATAGAGCATGCTCTAGAGCGTGGATATGCGCTATATAAATGCAATTGTTATTATTATTAATATAAATTGTTTAGGGGGAGGGCTGTTTCGAGCATGCCTGACAGGGCCAACCAGATTTGATTGAGGTACAACATCATAGCATACATGTACAAACATTTACTCGATTAAAAATTAAAAACTAACTTCCTCTTCCGACCTTTGAAATCACGTCTTCTGTATTCAGCGGCGAATAAAACCGTACCGTTACCCACATAGATACTAGTCTAATTAGCACTTCTAACTGGACACACGCTTATCCATTTTTGTATTGATTGGCTTTCCATCTACAGACGATATAAAATGTATAAATCTAATAATATTCTAGTGAGATTTTTAAAATGCTGTAATATAATGTATCCCCTTATAACGAACAAGCAACTGCTTAAGTTGCAAATACGTCTTCTAGAACGTCCTCTATGACCCAGAAGGAAAAAGTGACAGAGAACCAGTTTTGGAGATTATAAGCGGTTACACACGTCTACACAGCAGTGAGGAGGTTAATTCACTAGTTAGAGGAGAGAGAAAAGGAGACAGAGAGAAAGAATGAGCGAACGAACGAATGAACGAACGAACGAAAGAAGTCAAAGACAATACACCTAAGGAGACATCATGTCACACGTCTGAGTTGTTCATGTGCGTTATATCGTCATCGAAGGGGTTGCATATCTTACCTACTAGTACTTGTTTACAGCATTGTGTTGCTAGGGGCGTTATACTTGTGTTTCCCGTGCCCCACGGGGACAAAAATGTGTGTGTGTGTGTGGGG